AGTAATATTTAGATTTAGTAGGCCTATTTAGGCTACTTTTTTTTGTAAATTATTTTATTTTTTATTTTTTATTGTAGGAATGCCAATGTAGTATGTAGTGTTTACTTACTAGATCTAGTAAGTATATTATATAATCTTTAAACTAAATTTAATAGCAACATTGGTATGCAAGTTTAAAGCCAATTAATCACAACTCTCGAGTGCATTTTTCAATAAAACATAATCAATTATTTTAGTTATTGAGTTAAACTCATAACATCAAAATGTGTATAAAAAAAGGTAAAACCTTAGTTTAGCGTTGGAAATTATCGGGTAATGTTTGTTGAGTTTCGGTAACTAGAGTTACGGTAAACCATGGTTTATTTGACCATTGAAATATAAATAAATTGAAAGTCGATTGTAGTAAATTAATGTTTTAATTTTTTAAGTTTAATCCACAAAAGGAAACAAGAATAAATATAATAGTAGATTTAAATTAGTAGATCTAAAAATAAAAAACATATTATATTAATATAAATAATAAAGTCAAATGTAATAATTTAATGTTTTTTGCTTGAAGTGGATTTGCCACCATTAATTAATTAGATCTAGATCTAGCTAGCTATCTAGCTGCTAGGCCAAGTAAAAAGAATCTAGATTACGAAAATAGTAAAAATGATTATAAAATGTAAAAATGATTACAAAAATAAATCTATCCAAATTTTAAACATTCTGTATAAAAATAAAAGATGACGCCAAATAAAGTATGGTTTACAGTACTTCCGGTGAATTCCGAAAGTGTGTGACAGACTTTGGCATTGTTTTACTGTTTTTTACTGCTATACGCTTCCGGAATAATAACCGACGCTAAACTAAGGTTTTACCTAAAAAACTAACAACAGGCCTAGATAGATTTACCTAGATTCTAGATCACATGAATACGACTGTGAATAGCCCCAATACGGCTATTCACAGTCGACTGTGAATAGATACTTCGTAGATAGATTTACCTAGATTCTAGATATATAAAATTATGGTAATCTATCGTTTTGGGTACGTAAAATCGCCTGCGGCTATTAATGTACGAAAACGTTACCTCATTGTCAAGACTTTAATAGAGGTATATTGTGATATGTTTGTGTCAAATATTATAGATAAATGGATAATAAACCTAAATCAATGGCTAAATATATCAATATAGGCCAGAAATTAACTTTAAACAGCAGTGTCTGCGAGCAAGATTTGCTATATAAACAGCAGCCATGTGTAAAAAAGAGTGGCTTCCCCCTGAATCTTATAAAAAAAACACAAGATAGCTGCTATAGTAAATGAGCATGGTTGCATCTGTTGGAAACATCGCTAGTCTTCATTTATTACTGAAAAGTTTTAATTCAATTGTTTAAAAACAGATACATAAATGAAACAAGAAAACATTTTTGTATTTTAAAAAACATAAATCCTCCTCAAAATGTGAAATAATTATTAAAATTTAAGGAGTCACCTGTTTTTCACATTACAAGTCGCGGGCGATTTTACGTACCTAAAACGATATATTACTAAAATTATAGGCCTATACTATAATTTATATAGATCTAGCTCTAGATTCTAGATAAGATTATCATTATCTCTGAGACACTCTTTCACTCTAGACAAGATGAGATGATTGATCATAATTTTTTATATAGATCTAGAATCTAGATTCTCTAGCTAGGCCTAACTAATACAAATACTTATACTACTAGTAATACTACTAAAACTAGGCTAATCTAATAGTAATTTTACTAATTACTAATGAGTCATTAGTAATTACTATTAAATTAGTTAATCTATAATACTAATATAGCCAATAGCACTAATAACGGTAATCTATCGTTTTGGGTACGTAAAATCGCCCGCGGCTATTCATGTACGAAAACGTTACCTCATTGTCAAGGCTTTAATAGACGTATATTGTCATACTTTTGTGTCAAATATTATAGATAAATGAATAATAAACCTAAATCAATGGCTAAATATATCGATATAGGCCAGAAATTAACTTTAAACAGCAGTGTCTGAGAGCAAGATTTGCTATAAAAACAGCAGCCATTGGAAAATAGAGTGACTTCCCCCTGAATCTGGCGCTAAAAGCTTATAAAAATAAAACAGACAAGATGGCTGCTATAGTAAATGAGCATGATTGCATCTGTTGGAAACATCGCTAGTCTTCATTTATTACGGAAAAGTTTTACTTCAATTGTTTAAAAACAGGTACATAAATGAATCAAGGAAACATTTTTGAATTTTTTAAAACATAAATCCTCCTCAAAATGTGAAATAATTATTAAAATTTAAGGAGTCACCTGTTTTTCACATTACAAATCGCGGGCGATTTTACGTACCCAAAAAGATAGATTACCCTAATAACTAATAGGCCCTATTAGTTATTAGTATATTACTATTACTATTACTACTTAAACTTTAAACTTATTACTAATAATTATAGGTAATATTTACTATTTACTATTTAGAAATGGGTTAGGCCGTTAGGCCTATAATTTTCCATAAATCTATGTTTTGTAATACTAATAGGTTAGTAATAGGCCTAGATCTATTACTTTTAAAATAACAGTTTGTTTTAGACTTGGTTAAATAATTTTTGTTCACTTTGGTTACAGCAGTCTTGAATTATTGAGTTAGAAACTTCGGCAATAAAAAATAGAAGAAAAATTGTTTGCAGTCGTTTCCCTTACTTACACCGCGTTTACACTTACGACATGACCTACTTATATGTATGCTAAACACGCTATTGGTATATGGAATATATTCTAAGTTGCAGGGCACAAAACTATGCTTTTTACTTTCTAGGGCTTTCGAAGATTTTTTTTTTTAAACTGAGTTTAAATTTAAATGTAAACATTGCCTGCGCTTGGATCATATTTATCGGGGCACGGGTTACCTACCGTATGAAAACCTTGAGTGTACGTTAATCATTCACCGAAATAATGCGGTAGAACACACTTCGGTGACCGCCCGTGTGTCATGGACGTAGAGGGGCGCTCTCGGGAGCCCCCGAATACACTACCACAGAGGCGCCGTAGTGCTCACAGGATAACACAGAGCGCCAAATAGCATCACGAAACAATGGTGCAGATTGCGTAATTCGCTAAAGTTACACAAATCAACAGGATTTTTTTTCTTTAACACGTAGAAAAAAAATATTTGACTTGTTACAAACATTAGTGTGACGGATGTAATAATTTGTTACTAATGGTGTATTATTAGACGCTCGATCTCAATTTCTGATTGGATCGTCTAAATAATAGATGCTAATTGCATCATTCGAAAACTGACGAAACTGTTCAGATTTCCTCACGTTACAGAGTTATTTTTAGAAGTGTTTCTCTAAATTTAGATTTGAGTTGCCCTCCGAAACGTAATTTTTTACGGAAATTTTTTCATTATTTCGAGAACTATAAGTTTTGAAATGTGTGGATTTTTTATGGACAAAAGGAAACAACCCAGTTAATAATCTAACCTTGGTTAATTTATCTGATTATTCAAAAATATGTAATTACAGGGCCCTCAGCGGCCCAATGTGAGCCTTTGGGGCCGAAACTTAAATCTCTGTTCGCAGCCAAATCGCTGACACCCCTGATTCAATTTAGTGAGCGACTGTAACGCCCCATTTTATTCAGTGTCTGACTACTGTTTAGAACGAACATATGCGCTATTGCGGCTCACGGGAGAGCACAGGGGGCCAAATCGAACCCTGCAGGGGCGCCGGGGGGAGCGCCTGGTTCGGTATAGTCAACGATTATTGTTGCTCATCATGTCTTTAGTGGGTAGCCTTTTTTTGAACGAACGTGGGCGCCATAGGGAAGCCCGGGGCGCTTCGGATCGTGCAATTTACGGAGTGTCACCCCTGCGAAATGGATTTTATTTCCCCGCAGAAACCTCCCGAGGAGTATTCTCAACAACTTCCCAAAGTTTCATTGTGATCGGATGAAAGGTGTATTAATGCGTAAAAGTCAGACAAATAAACACACACACACACACACACATTGCTTTTTATATAGATAGATAGATAGATTACATAATTGTTATTAAAACGTTTTTATGTATTTTTTTCAGTACTGTATTTATTAAGATACAATAGTTGCATGACTAAAAATCTACAGCTCACCAAATGAACATGATAATACAAGTATAATAGTGCGGGATAGGGGTCACCCATAAATGACGTCACTCTTTTTTTTTTACGATTCCCCCCCCCTCCCCTCCGTCACACACCGTCACAAAAAGCCAGACCCCCCCCTAAAATGACGTCACACCTCAGCCTACAACCCCCCCCCCCCTCAAAGTTGTAGTTGAATTTTTTTTTCACATCGATTTTTTTCCACTATTTTGTCTGAACTCTGTCAAAGTAGAGTATTTTAATCAATTCCTATTACAATTTATTAAAATAGTTTTCTAAAACGCGAAATAACGTCTAAAATTCGTTTTCTAACATTACTTTTTATAATGCAAAACTGTGACGTCGCACCATCTGAACCCCCCTCCCCCTCATCACACACCGTCAGAAAATTACGGACCCCCCCCCCCCCTCCCTCCCTACGAGTGTGATCTGGAAAGTGTGAACGGAATCGCTGCATTAGAAGTGGGTCAAAATTGAGTTAAAAGATTTACTAGATAAAAGCTGTCAAAAGGTGCGTGATGTTTGCCATGCGAGACAGAAAGATGTTCTAGGCTACCCATGGCACTGCGTTCAAAGTTTAGATATGTATACTATACATGTCTACCCGTATACCATACATGTCCAGAACACAAAGACAAAGCCCACCGAAAGTTGATTTTATTTTCTTCACAGAGCATGTATACTTTGAGGTTCACATTTACTAAGCCTTTTTTTTCATTGTTTTTGTGCCTAATGACTCAGAAGATGTCCGATATACCCGTAACAGGTTTATATGTTTTTATATTATTATTATATAGGTCAAGTCTAGTATACATATCTTAAGTATAAACGCAGAGTCAGATCTGATTTTCAGGGGAAACCACTCTAATTTTCAGATGTCCGATGTTTAGGCCTAAATCAGACTAAATCTAGACTTATATAGATCTAGATCTAGATCTAGTATATAAAATAAATGTAACCAAATCTTTCTCTCCAAAAGACCGTGAGTGCAATTTAAAGTTAATTTCTATATTGAATTATTGATAGTTGATAGTCTGTTTGTTATTTAGAAATTGAGTTTAGTTTATTATTCCATTTCGTTCGGTAAAACAACATTTTAGCGTATTTTATTCGCCGCTTCGCGTTCACCTCCAGTTGAGTGTATTTTATTATAAATTATAAACTAATGTGACAAAATGTCTAATATAATCTAATCTATCTTTATACTACTAAAACTCAAGTTTTTTTACATGTTTGAATATTTATTTGTTTTTTGTTTGTTTTTTTGTTTGTCTGATTGGCTACAGGAGAGAATCTGCACTATGTCTATGTACTAATAATAGCGTGTATTGCGGCTTCGTAATTTCTAAGGGCAACCATTTTGGAAATGGCGCTGACTTCCCCTTTCGCTTTTTGTCCCAGGCTTCCGTCACCGCCGCGCGTGAGTCTAAAAATAGACTAACGGCTTGTTCCAACCGGCATTTTGTTGACGCTCTCTTCCCTTCGGGTTTACTTGACATATTGGAAAATATTTTGGCGGACGATATTTATTAATTTAGTTTTTCTTTCTTCGGATTATTGGAGTCAAAAATAGAGGTAATTTCAGCATTTTTTTTCTATTTGAATTAGATTCTTGTTCTTGTTAAAAGTTTGGTTGTTCGACAGAGTTTTGCAAATTTTCTTTAAATTAAGTCTGACAGCTAATTTCCCACCAACAAGTCGTTTAAATGTCCCTGCAAAGTCTGAATCGATAGCTTTGTAGCCGCCATTATTTTAAAAAGATTTTTAAAATATTGTATATTTATTAAGTTTTTTAAAAATAACATTATTAAAAAAAACGGTAAAATCTTAGTTTAGCGTCGTAAATTCCAACGTAGCTAGTAATGTGCGATGAAGGTAACTAATGAATATTTCTTTCATTTGGCCATATTTATGTCCTATTTTACATAATATAACAGATAATTGAATAACAAATCACAATCCAAGACCAAACCAGTCAAAAATATCCTGGAATAAACTTTAAACTACCCCGTTCGAGACAACAATGAGTAAACACAAGCAGCGGCCATGTTTTAAAAACAATAAATTGTCTATTCGCATGTCTTTTGTGTTGATTTTGTGGTTTAATATGATTGTTTTGTATTGTTTTAATATATGCCTGGGGGTCGTCCATACATGACGTCACACTCGTAGGGGGGAGGTGGGACCCGTAATTTTGTGACGTGTGATGAGGGGGAGGGGGGTTCAGATGGTGCGACGTCACACTTTTGCATTTTAAAAAAGCAATGTTAGAAAACGAATTTTAGACGTTATTTTGCGTTTTAGAAAACTGTTTTAATACATTGTAATAACAATTTATTAAAATACTCTATTTTGACAGTTCAGACAAGATTTTGGAAAAAATATAGCTGTTTAAAAACAATTCAAATGCAATTTTGAGGGGGGTTGTAGGCTGAGGTGTGACGTTATTTTAGGGGGGGGGGGGTCTGGCTTTTTGTGACGACGTGTGACGGAGGGGAGGGGGAGGTAAAAAGCGTAACGTCATTTATGGATGACCCCCTGTATAGTAATTTTTCTATTTTTTTTAATATAGTTGACATGAATGACTAATAGACCTTTTCAGACTTAATAGTGTGCACCCACGACCACAACAATTGTTGGGAGGTCGAACTTTTGAACACTTTATTTGCATCAAGCAAATCAATATTAGATCGCTCATAAATGACGTCGCTCTTAAGATAGTAATGACAGCGTGCATTATTACAGAGCAAACATATGAACATATTGTTTCAGATAGAAATTGTGATTTGTGGTGGGGAGAGGTTGAGTAGAACTCAGTGGATGGTTGTGGGAGAAAGACCAGCTGTAGAAGTATGACGCGTCATTCATTGGTGATCCATTTTCTCAGTGGGGACGATAGAACTATTAAGAAGGGTCAAGAAATTTAAAAAGCTTGCCGAGTCGCATTTCTTGAACCCCACCTTTTTCATTCCCCCACTTAGCACATCGTCACCGAGTTAACGCTCGCACGTGACGTCATGTACCGGTACCGCCGACCGTTAGGCTAATTTTATAGAAAAAAAAACAACAACAATTTAAGCACTGCTTTTTTGACGCTTTTGCGACGTTTAATTTGATTACAGAAGTTGGTGTTCATTAAACATCCCCTAACACATCTATCACTCGTCCATTTAAACGTACGTAGTTATTTCTGCAAGCTTGCTGTCTTGAGACTTTCGACCCTTTAAAATGTATTAAGCTCTCACCGTATAGAACTAGACTACCCATATTAAGCTCCAAAAGAAGCTTGGTGAAAACAGGATGGCCGTCCGATTTTGAAGCTGCTCTGCGCTTTATAAAAAGCACAATAAACGATAAGATGACACTTATATTAAAGTAAATTATAGTTCTGAATCTTGATACATTAAAAGTGATATTCGGAAATTAAGAGCCAGACAGTCAACATGATATTTCAATTTAAGTCCAAGAAAATAAATTTCCTCAAACGATGGAACATTACTAAATTTTCGCGCAGTTTAGCAAAATCGAATTTAAGTATTTACATCATCTTATAAAGCGCGATAGCCTACTGGTGCTCTAACGCGGCCCATGCTAATGGCCGTATTCCTAACGCCCCGCATTAGACGCGGCTTATTCGTCGGCAGGCATTTGGTGGCAAGCCTTTTTGACGGGGATAATGTGTTGCGGCCGTTTTGCCAAATGTCTTAAACTAGCAGGCTTGCAACATTTGTGATGATTAGTTTTAAGCAAGGTATACGTATATTAATGCTTATTTATCGTTATTTTGATTGAACAAAGCATTATGAGTTTCTCCATCAACCACCTAGGTATTTTTCCCCGTTCACCTCCTTTCATGAGACCGACACGTCATAAATTGCGGAGCCGCCTGAGTTGACGTCACAAATCTTCACTCACTCCCGTAGCAAATCATCATATGTGACATCATTTATGGAAACCCCATATCCATCACTTGGGTACTTGATATTGATAATTTGATAACAAAGGGTAACCAAAATGTGTCTGGCAGGTGGAGACCTGCGATCGACCATAATTGACAACACGCACTTAAGGAGTGGAGTGGCTGATTGTTTTAGATGATGTTTTTCAAGGGAAGCTGGTGTCTCTCTGTATATGTAAATGATGACAAACATTTAATGTTGTCAAAATTATGGTTAGAGATCTTAGATAAGGCAGAGTGAAGCGTAATTTTTTACATTATGACTTGTTGTGACATTAACGACAAAAATATGACGGAGGTTGGGGTTTAATTAAGGTAAAGAGTAGTAAAAAAAATGTCATAAGTTAGGATAGAATTACTAATTGATGAAAAGAAAAACCTGAAATGAAAATAGTGAACATTCAAACAATAAGAAAAAACTCAAACTATAATATAGAAATAGTAAGCTCAAATAAACATTAGTAAAAAAACGTGATTTAATACATGGATACAAGTTGCATTTCACAATGCTTCTAGAATTAATAAAGTTCTTTGTTAGGAAATTCACATTAAAAAAAAAAGCTTTATAATACGGACTTTACAACAAGACGATCATATTTAAATACATTTTCATACGAATAGAAATGAAAGGGAAGCTACTCTCAATAACATTTTCCTAAGATGGCGGCTGTTTTTAATAGCAAATTTACTATCTCGAACAGGGTTGATAAAAATTAATTTCAGGATATTTAAATTGATTTAACCATAAATGGTGATCTATTATTCAATTATCTATAATATTTTATCAAAATATACGAAAATATACTTATATTTAATGATTTAATGACATATTCATTAATTCACTCTCTCCCACATTACTAGTTTTGGCCGAATTTACGACGCTAAACTAAGATTTTACCAAAAAAACTATTTTACGAAAAAAAGTAATTAGGTTTAATAGTGTCATTATGTAGATCTAGATCAGATTTAGTTAGATCTAGATCTAGATTCTAGATCTAGAATCTAGACTAGATTCTAGAGTCTAACTAAACTAGACCTAGAATATCTAGAATCTAGATTCTAGATCTAGAGGAGTTTACACTTTTCGGACACACACCAAAAATTACGTAGGACCGAACACTTCGTCGGTTTTTGGCTCATAGAAACTTTAATTAGCATGTCTCACGCGAAACCACGGCGCCTGCACGTAAACTGTTCATTTATGAACACTTCCGTGTCAAGTACTTCCGTTTCCTTTCTCAAGAATTATTTTTAGAAATTTTTTAACGTTGCATGGTACGCACATTTCTATTTTTACACCAGCCGGATGAAGTGACCTAGGGTTGGACTTAGGGGCAAAACTTGAACCAATCAATGCTTAGCTAAAAGGTTACACTATAAATAGCTTCTATATATGTATGGAACATCGTAAATGTCAAGGTTAATGGGTTTTTTTGTGCTTGAACAATAAAAAAGGGGTGTTCGCTAACTTATTTGGCCTTACATGGGATCGGACACCAACACAAAAATATTACTAAATAAGAATTTAGAGCATAAAAGGGGCTGGTTATTGAAGGGAAAGGGTCAAAATAAGGTCAAGAAGGCAGTGGAATGCGAAAGAGGAGGGGGAATCATGTGACCTGGCTGGCTTAGCAGCGTACTGCGCGAGCCGCAATGGCTGAATGGGATGAACTTTGGGAGTGTGGGAAAAAGGTTTTATACTATTAAAATTACCTCACAAACAATCAATAACACAATATAAATGCATATAATATATGTTTTTATTCATTAAATTGACTTTAAATTATTCTAAATGAACAAAAAGTGCTATGTCCGATGACGGGTAAAGGTGTCCGAACACATGTAAAACTGTATTACATGTGTTCGAACACACGTTAAGACCCCCCAGTCACTTTAACAAGAATAGCTTAAGTTCTATGCGTATGAATACAAAATGACACACACATTATTAAAGTAGAATGGTTGCGGATAGATATGATACTTTTTTTTGTTTTCTATGTTAAGCGGTTACTGAATGAGACCGCATGGAATTTTTACGTT